AAAAGTGTCATGCTATTTTCCATATATTTTTCTCACCAAAGATTTTACGCAAAATTGAAAATTATACTGACACCTCATATTAACATATATATTTACCAAAATTACACAAAAGATTTTGAAATACTAAAGAGTAAATTTATTTAATAAAATCGCCGATTTAATCCCAGCCTCCAGACGACTTCGGAATCTCCTGCAACTCTTCTGGACGGCATGCTTGTTAAAGGTTATGACTATTGTCATATTTCTCATTTTTGGTAGTACAAGTTTTCTTGGTCTGTCGCTCAACTGTGCACCACACATAATAACCAAAGAGGTTTCCGTCTGGAGAGTTATATGACCAGATATAAGGGGTGATATGGTCGTAGAAATTTTCTGACAGCCATGACTGGGTTCTCCTGCTTTTGTGGCATGGTGCAGTGTCCCGTTGTCAGATATGCAGTCTTCTAACAGCTAGCTATATTCTTGACCAGGGCGGACACAACCTCCTCAAGGCACTTGATGTAGTCTGTAGCCCTGTGAGAAGAAGACCTGAAGTATAACGTCGCCATTACTAGTGAACACCTTCGTAATCACCATTAGACTCAACCAACTCTTTCCGAATCCTCTGCACTGTCCTCAGACTGAAACCCAAACATTCTGAAATGTTCGTATTGGAGCTTCCGGCGTGAATGCCAAGCAGTACAGCAAGTTGTTACGAAATTCCAGAAAAGTGAATTGCATCATGCTGCTCTTTCTCTCACGGAAGGTACCCAGCTGACCCTACTACACTGTGCAGTCGACAAAATCAAAAACAACAACGCGGATGCGCGAAATAGAAATATAATATTTACCTATTGCAACCATTTATCTATCTATCTATCTATCTATCTATCTATCTATGTGTCTGTCCCTACGCCTCATCAGCATGTTTGATGCTCGTCTCCGTGAGAGCGACTCACTTCATCTTGGCCTCACGTTTTCAACTGATTGAAGTGGAAAAACTATATTAAATCAATAGCTGCTTCTCCTGCCAGGAAATTTGGTTCACTGTGTCGTGCCAAGAGCTAATTCTTGTCACTCCATCTCACACATCTACAAATCTACCATTCGTCCTTGAATTGAATACTTTGCCATATATGGCTTGGTGCCCCTGCCATTCATCTTGAGGTTTTCCACAATGTAATATAATCGGTCCTGAAATGGCTTCTCGATTTCAGACACTCTCTCACAGACGTGGTGTGGTTTTCCTCTGTCTTTTGTACAAATATTTTCATGGCCACTGTTCAGACGACCGTTTTTCACTGGTGCGCCGACTATTCGTCAACTAATTTTTTACAGATATATGCTCCGTAGAAAAATGTTTTAAAACATGTTGATCGAGATAATTGTCAATAATTCATAAAAAGAAACATCTCCATATTCAAAAAAACGCTTCTCTGCGATATTTTACAGAAAAAGTAATATTTAACAAAAATAGATTAATTAAACTAAGCTAATCTTTCTGAAATAAAATTTCAGAAAAGTATATTTTATTTTTGAAAGATTTTTTTTTAATGAAGAGGAATACGTTGTACTGAAAGAAACCATTTTTATTGATTTAAAAAGCGCTCATTCCAATTCGATTTGAAATAAATCTAGGCCACCACCCTTTTACTGGTGAATTAGTTAAATGTAACCGCCACTTCTACCCACAACAGTTTCTTGTCTCGCACATTCTCGCCTGTGGAACTCCCTTCCGTTTCATTGCTTCCCTGATAACTACAATCTTCAAAAATTCAAATGCAATGTCAATCGTCATCTTTTATCTTCTCGTTCAGCTTTTATCCTTTCTTCGGTCCCTACTATACCCATTCTTTTTCTCCCACATTCACTCTTTGTAACCTCCTGCGTACCTGTGGTATTCCCGCCTTGCTTGGGGTGAAATGATTAAAAAAGAAAAATGACGGTTATTTTATTGGGGAGGATGGTCTTAAAAACAATGATTTTCGTGGCTAAAATAGATGTTTCTTTACTGGTTGCAAATATTTCGACTTTCGCCTGGTGTGTCACCAGATTGCACGTCCATTGGTAAACCTTATTTAGTTAGGCATTTTAAGCATTCCCATAAAATCAATAAGGTTCGTTTTATATTCCTTCTCTTGGATAAGTGCTTATCAAACTTTGGAGTGGACATTTTAACAAGGAATAATTAGTAATGGAATTTAAAAATGAGAAAATAATAAAGTTGTCTCTTGAAATAAGTATTTATTTTATATGACATTATAGATTTAAATTTAAATTTAAATTTGCTTGTGCGAAACGTTCTTTTTTTATTAAAAATAATATTACACAATTTACTCTTCTGTAAAATTTTGGGCGCAGCTTGTTACCTTTCAGTGTTCACCGGTTGAGGAACGCTCTCTTAGATGAGCATGTGCCTACTTATTTGATTTTATCTTCACCGCGGCAGGATGTATTAATCTCAGCCACTTATAAAAACACACACCGCTTCCCACTTTCTCAGAATTTCAGTAAACTACCAAATTTATTAATCATCTTACATCTTAGGGCCTTTTTTCAGACAATCCATTTGCTTTTCGTCTCTTCAGGTTAACTACTGATATACTGACGGTAATTGCTGGAAGAATCTATTATGCTCTAGATAAGAATAATGAAGCCCGGATGTAGCTTTGGACATATCGAAATCTTTATTAGGTGTTCCAGTTTTTTAAGAACTCTGCTGAACCATCCGACCCTTTCCACTATCGGCCTATTTGTGTTCTATCTATTTTTGGGAAACTTCCAGAGATCCTAATCAATACCAAATTTATTAATCATCTTACATCGTAGGGCCCTTTTTTCAGATCATCCATTTGCTTTGCGTCACTCCAGGCTAACTGCTGATATACTGACGATAAATACTGAAAGAGTCTATCATGCTCTACATAAGACTGATGTAGCTCAGGGTGTAGCTTTGGACATAGCGAAAGCTTTCAACAGGCTTTGAAATACAGGTCTTCTCCACAAGATGAAAAATTATGGCGTCTCCGAACAAATTTTTGAACTGATCCATTTTGTCTTATTCAATCATAAAATGAAAGTAATCATCAAGGCGACTCTTCTAATTCCTATCGTACTAATACAGGTCTTCCTTAACGCTCCATCCTTTGACTTACTTTGTTTTTAATTTTCATTAAGGATCTTCCCGGTGGCATCAGTGCTCAACATGGTGTCTACGCCGATGACAACATTTACTCTTGTCTACATAGTAACGTTGATGGCAACTGATATCCAAAACAAATTTGAGTCTGTTGTTAACTGCGGCAAAGGATAACTTGTTATCTTTAAAGTCTTCAAAACTAAACTGTACATTATTTACATATTTTGTATTTTATATATATTTTATCGATTTTTATTACGATTCTAAGCATCGCTTTTTATTACGATTCTAATCATCTCTGTTATTACGATTCTAATCATCATTTTTTATTATGATTCAAATCATCGATTTTTATTACGATTCCAATAATCGCTTTTTATTACGATTCCAATCATCGCTTTTTTTACGATTCTAATCATCGCTTACGATTCTAATCGTCTCTTTTATTACGATTCTAATCATCACATTTATTACGATTCTAATCATCGCTTTTTATTACGATTCTAAAAATCGCTTTTTATTACGATTCTAAGCATCGCTTTTTATTACGATTCCAAATATCGCTTTTTATTACGATTCTAATAATCGCTTTTTATTACAATTCTAATCATCTCTTTTTTTACGATTCTAATCATCGCTTTTTATTACGATTCTAATCATCGCTTACGATTCTAACCATTCTTTTATTACAATTCTAATCATCGCTTTTTATTACGATTCTAATCATCTCTTTTATTACGATTCAAATCATCGCTTTTTATTACGATTCTAAACATCTCTTTTATTACGATTCTAATTATCGCTTTATATTACGATTCTAATCATCGTAACAAAGTTTAACTATGCAGGGAATGTAATTAAAATAATAGCGGTGTCAAGGAAAAAGCAGTTCTTTTGACGTTTTTCTTACGGCATGAATGTTCACATTAGCTGTTTTAACTTTCTATAAGTTTCACATAGTCCTATTTAAGCAAGACAAATGAAATAAACAAAAAATAACTCAAAGGTCATAGGAATATTCGCTAAGCTGTTTTATAGAGAATATAACTCAAGGTTATTAACGAAGCAAAACAAATATTTATTCCTTTTTACGCTTCCTTATATTAAAATGGCTACCCTAAACGCAAGCACATAATGGAGATTCAAGTTAGCAGGGTATTGACTTTGTAAATTGAACATTTGTTAAAAAGGACTATTCTTTTTCTTTTTTCTGTGAGTAACGTGGCCCTTCATGTTTTTAATGTTGCTGGTCGGTCTTGAATACATAATTCCTGCGGTTAGTAATTTGAATATAGGAATAAATAAATAAATTCATAGAAATTCAGTAAAAAAAAAAAAAATACTGGCAATGTTTTCTATGTGCCGTCTCCCTTCAGGATGTACGCGATCATATATGCCCAGATAAATTTTATTATTTCTCCTAAACCTTGTTCCGCCATCCATTTAATCAAGCTCACTAAATTTGTTATACGCTGTTTTTCTCTGTCTGTCTTGTCTTCCATTTGTCCTATGAATACCAGATTCACCAACCTAAGCCCTCTTTCTTCATGGTGTCTGTCGGGTTTCTCTCGTTCACTCGCAGGAAAAGCACAGCGATAATCCAAATAGGTTAATTAACTGTCTCTCCAACAGTGTACAACAGAACAGGACAAAGGCAAAAAGACAAATAAACTACACCACCTGCATTGCTTATATAGCAATACTATTAGAAGATTCTAGAGAGCTCTACAAATTTATATTCGTTTCTGTTCGACAGATTCGCATGCCAGCAATTTGTATTGGACAGATCTAGATACTAGTGATCTCCAAAATAGTGTCCTACAAATTCGAACTGTCTCCTCGTGATGTTGAGTATAAATTTCTTTTTCCACTTTCATCGTTATTAGGAAGCCTTCTGATAGATAGATAGATAGATAGATAGATAGATAGATAGATAGATAGAAACAGAATGATATAAATTATCTTTCTCTTGAATATTACGGCATTTCAATTGTCTCTTGTAGCCTGAAGTTCTCTGGAATACAGAGCGAGAAGAGAGATAGATAGATATGAACAGAATGAAATAGATAGATAGATAGATAGATAGATAGATAGATAGATAGAAAGAAACAGAATGATATAAATTATCTTTCTCTTGAATATTACGGCATTTCAATTGTCTATTGTAGCCTGAAGTTCTCAAGGATACAGAGCAAGTTAGATAGATAGAAAGAAAGAAAGAAAGAAAGAAAGAGAATGATATAAATACTTTTACTCTTGAAAATTACTGTATTTCAATTGTCACTTATAGCCTGGAGCTCCCAATGAATACATAAGCAAGAAAGATAGATAGATAGATAGATAGATAGATAGATAGATAGATAGATAGATAGATAGATAAAATCAGAGATACGTAGATAGATATGTAAAATCTTAGATAAATAAATAGATATATAAAATCATAGATAGATAGATAGATAGATAAAATCATAGATAGATAAGTAAATACATATGTAAATAATAGATAATTAGATATGTAAAATCATAGCTAAATAGATATGGGAAGTCATAGATAGATAGATAGATAGATAGATAGATAGATAGATAGATAAAATCATAGAAAAATAGATATGTAAAATCATAGATAGATAGATAGATAGATAGATAGATAGATAGATAGATAGATAAAATCATAGAAAAATAGATATGTAAAATCATAGATAGATAGATAGATAGATAGATAGATAGATAGATAAAATCATAGAAAAATAGATATGTAAAATCATAGATAGATAGATAGATAGATAAAATCATAGAAAAATAGATATGTAAAATCATAGATAGATAGATAGATGAATAGATAGATAGATAGATAAAATCATAGAAAAATAGATATGTAAAATCATAGATAGATTAATAGATAGATAGATAGATAAAATCATAGAAAAATAGATATGTAAAATCATAGATAGATAGATAGATAGATAGATAGATAAAATCATAGAAAAATAGATATGTAAAATCATAGATAGATAGATAGATAGATAGATAGATAGATAAAATCATAGAAAAATAGATATGTAAAATCATAGATAGATAGATAGATAGATAGGAAAAGAATGAGATAAATAAAATGGATAATGACTGAACGATATGACCGAATAGTCAACAAAAGTAAGATTCAGGAGAGAAACTTTCGATGCTAAGCACTTGAAATCTTTTTCTTAATCTGTTCATCCGATTAACAGATATTGGTGTGTCTTCCCAAACCCAGAAATGTAAACACATTACGATACACGCATTGCTCACATATACACACACCTAAAAAGCCCTACTTATATATATATATATATATATATATATATATATATATATATATATATATATATATATATATATATTGTGTTTGTGTGTGTGTGTGTGTAAAAGGAGTTACATCCTAAAGTAAGATACTTTGTGTCAAATATTATTAGAATAAAGACACAAAAGGTGCTAAAACATTCCCGGACTGATGATGACGGGATAAATAAATTTCTTATGTTTTTTTATGTAATCAGATTTATTTAAATATTTGTAAACAAAGCTTCAGAGGAGGATAGAGTCTTGTATATAAAGAATATCTTACTTAGTCTTGCCTATAGGGAATATCTTTGCCTATAACGAAATTCTTGCTTAGTCTTGCCTATAAAGAATATCTTACACAGTCTTGCCTGTAACGAGTATCTTACATAGTTCTGCCTATAACAAATATCTTACTTAGTCCTGCCTATAACAAATATCTTACTTAGTTTTGCCTATAACAAACATCTTGCTTAGTCTTGTCTTTAACGTATATATTGCTTAATCTTGCCTATAAAGAATATCTTGCTTAATCTTGCCTATAACGAATATCTGGCTTAATCTTGCCTATAAAGAATATCTTACTCAGTCTTGCCTATAACGAGTATCTTGCTTAGTTCTGCCTATAACAAATATCTTAGTTCTACCTATAAGAAATATTTTACTTAGTTCTGCCTATAAGAAATATATTACTTAGTTCTGCCTATAACAAATATCTTACTTAGTCCTGCCTATGACAAATATCTTACTTAGTCTGGCCTATAAGGAATATCTTACTTAGTTTCGCCTATAAGAAACATCTTGCTTAGTCTTGTCTTTAACGTATATCTTGCTTAATCTTGCCTATAACAAATATCTGGCTTAGTCTTGCCTGTAACGAATATCTGGCTTTATCTTGTGTATAACGAAAACCTTGCTTAGCTTTGCCTATAAAGAAAATCTTGCTTAGTCTTACCTATAACGAAAATCTTTTTAATGACTTAACAACCAAAAAACGAGATTGTTAATATAGATACATAATTGCAGACCCCACTGTATGTGTGATGCCTCTTTTCTTCACAAGGTAATGAGGCGGTGTTTTCGAGGTGAGAGATTGTCGCTCATCTGGGTTTTTCTTTTCTTACGACCGGGACAAAATAACCCCGCCTTTGTTCTGGCTGAAGTGAAAATACTGTTGACAACTCTCGAGTCAGACACTCTACTGAATCTGACTATATCGCCAATACCACCAGCAGCTGTTCTGTAATTCTTCAGTCTTTGATGTCAAAGGCTGGCAGTGATATTTAGCCACCCCCCTACGCGAGGGTTACATGTGGTACAAGGCCGGGATTAACGTGGGATCTCCGAGCCCGTAGGCTCGGCCAAAAATATTCCCTATTCGAACGCGTATAAACGGGTTCAGAGGCTGTCAACCTCCCCGAACGAGACTCTGCCCTTCGGCGGAGCCTCGTCCGCGTTGTCAAAGGTTGGCAGTGATATTTAGCCCCCCCCCACACACACACACGAGGGTTACATGTGGCACATGGCCGGGATTAACGTGGGATTTCCGAGCCCGTAGGCTCGGCCAAAAATATTCACTATTCGAACGCGTATAAACGGGTTCAGGGGCAGTCAACCTCCCCGAACGAGACTCTGCCCTTCGTCGGAGCCTCGTCCGGGTTATCAAAGGCTGGCAATGCATATTCGGGAAAAACATGGCCGCCTTTATACACGTCGCATTGAACATTTTGAGCCTTCTGATTGGTTAACCTTTCTATTGGTGAACTATAAAATGAGTCAGCTCATTTTGGTTGGCTCACTAGTACACCAGGGTACCCAAAAATTCCAGCAATAACCATGTGAGTCTTTTTATGCATAGAGCTTGATGATACCACCAGTGGTCACACTGACAAAACAATTACACATCTGATCTTTATTCGATCGGCTATGTGCCGATTTAAAAATTAAAATAGACAACAGGATTCACTTTAGTTATTAATAATGTCGTTTAACCAATTCTAGTTCAATTAATTAGGCAACCTAATTACTAATGATTAAGCCTCAGCGCAGCGAGGTACAGTGACATATTAGTTCCACGTTATGGTTACCTAACGTAAAGAATCGAAAGAACTCGAAACACGAGAAGGATCAAGAAAGCCGATCGGGAAATCTTTTTAAACCACTGAGAGAATTAGATTTATTCCATTGTCAAACATCTTATTTTTTACAGATTTAGGTTCAAACTCATACGCAAAACACCTTTTGAATTCTGATTTTCACGGCTATTATCCAGATTTTGTCATAATGGTGTCAAAATCTATATTGATAAAAATCAACTTTATATGAACAAATATAATCCTAACCCGTAGGTGCCAACTGAAGATAATAAGGGAATAGTGACAAGTTTGCTATTCCCTACTCCAATAGAAAAAAAATACCGTCTCTTCTGGAACTAAGCGAACATGGCTCTCCACAGATTCCTTTTCCATTCGTATCTGTGAATCGATATTACTGGGGATATATTCATTTTCTTTCTCTTTTCTTTTCTTTGTCTTCTTTCCTTTCTTTCTCTTTTCCTTTCTTTTTCCCTTTCTCTCTCGCGCGCTCTGTCCGTTTACTCTCTCTCTCTCTCTCTCTCTCTCTCTCTCTCTCTCTCCTTATCCTTCGCTAACAACCGGACTCAGTAACCTTCTTATTAATTGACCAATCAGAAGTGTCTGTCGTCAAGATGTCTCAGCGATATTACAGCATATTGGTGAAATCTTTCTTTCAATTATTTTCCCACCGTCTGATCGTTTTTTGTCTTTCTTTCTTTCTTTCTTTCTTTCTTTCTTTCTTTCTCCGCCCACGTTCATTCATTCATTCATTCTTTCTTTCTTTCTTTCTTTCTTTCTTTCTTTCTATTCCCACCGAAATTCAGTCTTTTGTTCATTTCTTTCTTTGTTTCTTCCTTTTATTCTTTTTGGCCTTCATTCTTTCTCCACCGACGTTCTTTCTTTCACTCATAACTTTTCCCCATAGACATTCGATTTCTTTCTTTCTTTCTTTCTTTCTTTCTTTCTTTCTTATTTATTCCATATTTTTAGTCTATTGATGTTGCGTGGGTAGATTCATTTCTAATACGAATATAATAGCCATTAATTACGAAAATGTATATCTGATAAATAATGATATATGAGTTTTCAGCAATTTTTCACTCCTTTCACAGGTCCAACTTGTTTCTATAGATGAATTTGTTTCTAGCAAACAGTTTACAGATATGACACATAAATATATTATTTACACTCTCTTTCTTTAGACTGTACATACATATCAATCGATAACAGATAGGTAGATTGATATGAACTGGCTGAGATAGATAGATAGATAGATAGATATGAATAGAATGAGATACAAGGTTCAGTTGAAAAGTTCATAGGCTAACTATAAATGGGTGATGCTAGAGCTGTGAAATTTTGCATGCATTAATTTCAAAACTTCTTAATTGGATGTGTTATTTTGTGGTAAACAGATACCTGTTCAAAGACTGTCCATTCTGCTGTGTATCACTGCGATACTTGTTCTTTGCCAAGTGTTTCTTTCATGTTGGGGAACAGATGATCGTCAAATCAAGAGAATAGGGAGGGTGATCTATCATTTGAATACTACAGTCACGCAAAGTCATTGAGAACAAGGATCTGTGTGATGGAGTATTGTCCTGTTGAAAGAAGAACACTTTCTTGTTGGGGCTTGGTAGCATTTCGTAACTGCCTCGGTAAGTTTGCATTGTACTCTCCATTGATGATATGGCCCTTTTGAAGATATTCAAGAGGCAAAATGCCTTTTGCATCACAAAAAAATAAACTGATACCATTATTACCTTCTCTGCAAATGACACGACCTTGAGTAGGATGTTATGGGTAAGTTACGTAGATGACACCTGAATACTCTGGCCATACCAGTTAGATGTCCAGGTTCTACTGGACCATGTGATTTCAATAAGTCCTTCGATACAGTTCACGATAGAGAAAGAGAGTAACAATTCACTCCCATTCCTGGGTGTTCTAATATCTCGGACAGAGCATGGGTTCAAGACATCCTTATACCGCAAACCGACATTCACCAGAAAGTACCTCAATTTCAACCCCCACCTTCCATACAGCGTAAAGAAAGGGATCGTCCGCTGCTTACAACACCGAGCAAAAGTCATAAGTGGCGACCAAGAGATATTTGATAAAGAATTGGTCATTATAAGTAGTACTCTACAACGTAACAACTACCCTGGTTACATGGTAGCAGCCCCAATAAACTGGGATAGGCTGTTACTAGAGGAGGACAACAACACCCAGAAAACAGTCTGCCTGCCTTATGTGAAGTGGTTATCGGAGAAAATACAAGGGATCTACGGTCCGTATAACACCAGGACAACCTTCAAAAGCTTGATGACACTTCGCAGTTACCCCTCCCAAGTAAGAGCCCCCATAGAAGAGAACATGATTAAAGACTGTGTGTACGCCATCTTGTGCAGCTGTAGAAAGAAATCCAAGGTGGAGACAGACCGCCCCCTTAAGGTAAGGCTTTAAGAACACCAAAAAGCTGTAACACGAGGGGAAGTGGAAAAATCAGGCGTGACTGACCGCATATGCAGAGAAAAGGGAGATCAGCGCGATCTCTGGGATCGGGTTGAAATCATAGACAAAGAACATCATTGGAAAATTCGTAAACTTAAGGAATCAGCACATATCCTAGGACACAAACATATCCTGAGCTGACCAAGTATAGAAATGAATACAACATGGGAACCAATAATAAGGAGTGCCAGAGAAAAACAATAATAACAACGAAAAATGCAAGATGAACTCTGGTAAAAACTGCAACGATAACAGCAAAAATTGTAATATGAGTAATAGTATAATGGTTGCTGAAGACAGTAAGTTTATACGTCCCAGAAATTCTTACACATATATCCTTAAGAGCACATGGCTCAGTGGATAAAGGCGTTGGTTAGATCCAGTGACAGGACCCAAAAGAGTTGTGAGTTCAATATCTGGTTAATTAATAGGAGATAACTGATAAATGACATCCATTAGAAATGGCACGTGGAACTAGAACAGCAAACGAAATAAAGGGTTCAGAAGAAGGACGGAGCGTATAAAGGTCGAAACGCTGTAAAGTTAATAGTGTATTTGGCATAATGGTGTAACTAAAAAAAGGGCTTAAATCTCAGGTACCTTCATGCTGACATAGTTGCTAAATTTAGTCTTCTGATAGAGTTCCCATCAATCGCTGTCTAGATGTTTGATTTATAGCCAATCGTCTGTCATCCATCGCCATGTGGTGAGAACGATCAATGTTTTTCTCGGTGGTGACAGTTTCAGACCATCCAGACATAGGATCATCTCCAAGATTAACCCTTCTGCTAAACTCAGCTACCTAATTTTGCACTCTTCATAAGCCTGTACCACTATCCCCTAATATAGCAACCCACGCTCTGTCCGAGATATTAGAACACCCAGGAATGGGAGTGAATTGTCACTCTCTTTCTCTATCGTGAACTGTATCGAAGGACTTATTGAAATCACATGGTCCAGTAGAACCTGGACATCTAACTGGTATGGCCAGAGTATTCAGGTGTCATCTACGTAACTTACCCATAGAGTTGGCTTTAGAGATATAGATTCTAATGTCATTTTCTCAAAGTATTCCATGTATATATTCGCCATTGCTGTTGATAATGGCGAGCCCATTGCTAAGCCCTCATCCTGTGATATATGTGTGCACTTTTCAGTACACCCATGTATCACAATATGTCCATAGATAGATAGAAATAGACTGAGATAGATAAATATAAATATTCTTAGATAGATAGATAGATAGATAGATAGATAGATATGAACAGACTAAGATAGATAGATAGATAGATAGATATGAACAGACTAAGATAGATAGATAGATATATAGATAGATAGATATGAACAGACTAAGATAGATAAATATGACTATTCTGAGATAGATAGATAGATAGATAGATAGATAGATAGATAGATAGATAGATATGAATAGACTGGGATACATATATACGAACAGACTTTGGTAGACAGGTAGTAATTCATAATGACAGAACAATATACTTGGATAGGTAAGAGATTATGATCCTAGGTAAACATGTTATCAGATATTATTAAAAATACAATATTTTAAGCACGTAAATTGCCATAAAGTGATCGATGTTGATAAAGTCATAAGTGTGTACGCACTCCCAAAGGGTAGGATGGCTCTGACCATCTTAGACTGAAACTCTGCACCACCATAAGCTGTCTCGAACCACAACAATTAATAATGATTGGCTATAAATTAATAACAGAATGTTTGTTTGAATAGGGACAAAAAAGTGAATTTAAACGGATAATATCCTAACAAAAATGAATTAGTTTGCAATGCTTTATCTAATATAAGTTCAACATCTTCGTTTCGGTGATGAAACTAGTGTATATAAATATTAGTTGAAAATGTTAAATCTAACAATAAAAAGACGATCTGATTAGTTGCAATATAATATAACTGAAATTAAGATGAAACAACTACTAAGTAAAATTCAAAATGGCCGACAATGCTTAATTTAATAATAAAATAATAGAATAAACGTCTGGTAAGTTGCAATGAAACCTAAAATTAAGATGAAACTAATACGAATCGAAAATGAATAATGCATCGTCTAATAATAATAATAATAATTGAATGGCACACTGGGGAAATTCCATGGAAAGCAAGTGAAATTAAGGTGGAATAAATACGAGACCAATTTTAATAATGGTTACTATTTTTTTTATATCTAATAACCAATCCACGTTCATATTACTACTGCTAATGGTGATTTGTATAATTGCGTTGAATATCAAATGAAGTCGAAAGAATTAGTGGCCATTAGCTGAATGTCTTTCACAGTTATTTTACGCTTTAAAATTGCAAAATGGACAAATATTTAAATGGAGTCGAATAGAAAGCTGAGTCATCAATATGTTTTATTTATCAAAGTTGCGTGGAAAAGCCTGGAGTTGTTTTGAAACATGTTTCCTCTTTCTATCTAGAAAGCAGATTTCTCTAATGACTTGATTGATAACTTGAAATTTAAACTTCTATCAGCCTTATCACTCGTAATTGCCTCTCAGGAACGGACGCTCTTCTAAACGTAATTATAAGAGAAGGTTAATTAGTGCAAAAAGAATCGGACGGTTGAGGGCACATGACTGACTCAAAAGGCTAAAGTCGGGGGTTTCGAATAATTTGTCATGACTGCCGATGAGCGCGTCCAATTAAGCAGAATAAGCAAGAGAGTAGACGGAAGATGAATTGTATGTAAAAAGGTTGAAATCAAGAATATGAGATTGTTGAAAGAAAGAAAGAAAGAAAGAAAGAAAGAAAGACAGAAAGAAAGAAAATTGAAGTGGCGCAAAAAAGAAGGAAGGAAGGAAGTCTAAAAGAAGAACAAAGTGAAATAGAAGAAAGAAAGAAAGAAAGAAAGGAAGAAAGAAAGAAAGAATGATAGACGGAGAAATAAAGTGGATTAAAGAAGGAAGGAAGGAAGGAAGGAAGGAATGAAGGAAGGAAGGAAGGAAGGAAGGAAGGAAGTGAGGAAGGAAGGAGGAAGTGAGGAAGGAAGGAGGAAGGAAGGAAGGAAGGAAGGATGGAAAGAACGAAGGGATGAAGGAGGAAGGAAGAAAGGACGAAAGAAGGATGGAAGGAGAAACGGAGAAAGGAGGGAAGGAAGTATGTAAGGAAGGAAGGATGGAAGGAGAAACGAAGGAATGAAGGAAGGAGGAAGGAAGGATGTAAGGAAAAAGGAACGAAGGAAGGAATGAATGAGGAAGGAAGGAAAGAGGAAGGAAGGATGGAAGGAGGAACGCAGGAAGGAAGGAAGGATGGAAGGAGGAACGAAGGAGGAACGAAGGAAGGATGGAAGGAGGAACGAAGGAAGGAAGGAAGTAAGGAAGGAACGAAGGAGGAAAGAAGAAGGAAGGAGGAAGGAAGGAAATAGGAAGGAAGGAAAGAGGAAGGAAGGAAGGAAGGAAGAAAGGAGGAAGGAAGGATGGAAGGAAGGAAGGAAATAAGGAAGGAACGAAGGACGAAGGAGAAAAGAAGGAGGAGGGAAGGAAATAGGAAGGAAGGATGGAAGGAGGTACAAAGAAGGAAGAACGAAGGAAGGAAGGAAGGATGGAAGGAAGATGGATGGAAGGAAGGAAGGAGGAACGAAGGAAAAAAGGATGGAAAGAGGAAGCCAGGAAGAATATGGATGGAGGAAGGAAGTAAGGAAGGAAGGAGGAATATGGAAGGAAGGAAGGAAGGAAGGAAGGAAGGAAGGAAGGGAGGGTTAACGAAGGATGGAAGGAGGAACGAAGGAGGAACGCAGGATGGAAGGAGGAACGAAGGAAGGAAAGAGGATGGAAGGATTGATGGAGGAAGGAAGGAAGGAAGAAAGGAAGGTAGGAAGCATGGAAGGAAGGAAGGTAGGAAGGAGGAAGGAAGTATGGAAGGTGGAAAGAAGGAAGGAAGGAAGTAAGGAAGGAAGGAAGGAGGAAAGAAGGATGGAAGGAGGAACGAAGGAGGAACGAAGGATGGAAGGAGGAACGACGGAAGGAAGGAAGGAAGGAAGGAAGGAAGGAAGGAAGGAAGGAAGGAAAAGATGGATGGAGTAACGAAGGAAGGAAGGTTGGAAGGAAGGAAGGAAGGAAGGAAGGAAGGAAAGAAGGAAGGAAGGAAGGAGAAGGAAGGATGGAAGGAAGGGAGGGTGGAAGGAATGAAAGAAAAGAAGGAAGAAAGAAAAGGAAGGAAAAACATATTCGAGTAAAAGAAATAAAAAGAAAAAAGAAATTAGAGTAAAGGGAAAAAGAAGTGAACGATTGAAAATGGGCGAAGAAAGCAAGAAAGAAAGAAAAAAAGAGGATAGGAAAATAAAAAAAGAAGAAAGAGTTGAATGTAGGTGAAGAAAGAAAGAAAGAAAGAAAGAAGGAAAGAAAGAAAGAAAAAAGAAAGAAAGTAATTTACGAACAGACGATAGTTCTTACTTTCTCACGTGGTCGGTTTTCAAGTCCAAACAAATGATAGTACTTCAAATAACGATTTACAAAGATGACATTTCTTTGTCGCTGCAGAATGTTCCTGAGATAATTTTCCACATTATTAACGTGGCCTTAGAATAGAGTTTGCTTGTTTTTAAGTGAAAGAAAGTGTAAGAAAGAAGGAAATCAGAATGAAAGAGAGAATGTGGAAGAGAAAAGCAAGAAAAAGAACGAATAAGGTAAGAGCAAAAAAAAGGTAAAGAACAAAAATAAAAGAAAAACATACAGAAAGACAAAAACAAAGAAATACAAGAAAATAACAGATAGAAATAATAAAATAAACCAATTCAAAGAAAACAACGAAAATGGAAAAGAAAAAAAAGAAAAAATGAAGAAAAAGCGAGAGAGAAATTAATTTTAAAAGAAACAAAGACGAAAAAATACAAGAAAGAATGAGGAAAAAAACGAAAGAAAAAAAAGAAAAAAAAAAAAACAATGAAAGTAATGAAAAAACAAAGAAAAACTAAGAAACAAAAATAACAAAAGAAGAAAATAGAAAAGAACCAAATGAAACGACGAAAAATAAACAAAGAAAATAACAAACGAAAATAAAAGAAAAAAAAATGAAAGTGAAATAAGAAAAGAGTAAAAAAAATATGACAAAACGATAAAGAAAGAATAAGAAAAAGAACGAAAGAAAAAAAGAAGAAAAAAGAAAAAAAAAGAATAAAAATGAAAAAAAAGAAAGAAAGAATAATGAAAAAACGTGACACGATAACGAAATAAAAAAAAAAATCCCGACGGGAGGTATACAAAAGTTGTAGTCGTAATAGAAAATGTAAATTTAAATTTCCCAATTGTAACGTACCAGAGTGTTTATATATATATATATATATATATATATATATATATATATATATATCGTTCTTGACACTTTTTATTTCCCCACGAGATGCAGGCTTTTCCTTTCACTTTTATAAAGACAAAGAACAAAGAAAAACTGGTCACACGAGAGCCAGGAAGCCATACATTTCTCCCTTGTCATTAAATGATTTCCCCACTCTGGCCTCTTTTAACGAAACGCAAACAAGATGTCTCGATTTCTCTGGCTCGGCTTATGTCCTACCTGCCACATATTCATCCGCGTAAAGCAAACACCGGACACAACTTCCTGTCAGCGTTGGCCATCATGTCCGGTGACCAGCTCTTTTATTTTCTTTCGTATTTTTTTTTTTTTGGTTGTTTTTTTCTCTTCCTCCGGTGGCCTATTACCGCATTGTCGTTCATCATTATCCGCTCTTCTGCTACACGGCAAATGAATAATATATTTCTCGTTTAGATCTTATTAAGTTGGTGTCAAATTACTATACAAAGAGTTGGTCGGCATTTTGAATCTCAAATCTGCCACGGGCGTTATGCATTCGGCTTGGCCTTATAAAGCTTCCTTTACACAAGTGCTTTGTCTGTGCAAGTTTAGAATATATTGTTTTATTAGTTTTCTTTGATAATGAGTTGGATTTTATGTATGGAGAATGTCTGAGCAAGCAAGCTATGTTAGATATCTACAAGTCATAATTTTTTTTCTATTTTATTTTTCAAAAACAGAAACTGCTTCATCGCTTTCCTGCTTGTTGGGAGTCCTCTTCTGTAGTTATATTATTATTTAAGAACACAGGGGAACCGTCTGGTCCTTCCATCAGTCCATTAGCCTTCTATCTCTTTTTGTCAAAGTACATCTTTTATGTGCCGTATCCCTTCAGGACATAGGCGACCATAGCTCTCCATTTCCAGCTATCACTTATATCTCACAATAAGTTTTATCTCTTTGCTACTTCTCCCAAACCCTGTTCTGTCATCCACTTGCTTAAGCCTTCTAGGTACGTCACGCGTTGCTTTCCCTTGTCTCTCTTTCCCTCTATACTCCCTGTGAGTATCCGACTCTCCAAGCCCTCCTTTTTCATTACGTGTATCAGAAATTTCATCCGCCTCTTCCTGACGTTAAGTATAAACTTCATCCTTGTTTGCCTCCTCTCCAGAACCTAATCGTTGCTCACATGTTCAGTCCATAGTATTCTTAGCATCCTCCTGTAGAATCATACCTCCGTTACCTGTAGTCTCATCTTCATCTTTTAGGAGACCACCCTTTTCCCCATTCCCCATTTTGTCCTTGTCCCCACATTTCGTAATTAATTAAAAATAAATATCGCTCTTCGCTATGGTGCCTAGATCTTTTGATGTTAAACTTTTGACATTGTTCCGTATATATTCGTTGGATTTACTCCCAGCTGGAGGTGGGGACCAGCTTTCTCAAGCATTTGTTCTTGGACGCCCGGATCCTTTTTCCTGTCTTGGCCAAGAGTAGCCAACACTCACGCGTGTAGAGGAGGATTGATACAACCAGCAGTTTATAGAACTTGCATTAGTTACAAAAATAAATCAATATAAATCGTTTGGAACTCTCCAGTCATTGCATTCATTCATCCGGGACAGGAAGTTAGTAGTTTGCATATGTAAATACCCTCATCCGCCATAAAGGCCAAAATGTCGGTTGAGTCTGGATATTTTTCCAGAATATGCACCTTAAGATGTTTGTTGAAATGAAAATCGTTTGTAATAAAATGTTGAAATATTGTTGCATATTGTCATTTTCTTAAATCGCGCTCGTCTCTAAGTGTTGAAAAATATTGAAAGTGTCACGTCAATAATATTCTTTATCATTATTATTATTATTATTAAAGTTCCTTCAATTTCTGGTGTGTACTTATTTTTTCCGGGCTCCGCCCAAAGACCTAATGTCAGAAATGACATCATGACATTTTCCACTGAGTAATTACAAACAAAAACAAAAAACAACCTTATTTACATTATTCGGACTATTGTCCTCATCTTTGTCGCCGTATTTATTACAACATTTCGGCCGTTGTACGCTCCGGCCTTCTTCAGACGGTTGGACTGTCGAACTGAATCCTTTATTTCGCTCACTAGGGTAGACTGTTCTGGTTTCACGTGCCATGTTTAATGGATGTCAGTTATCAGCTAAAAAAAACAACCTATTTGACATAGAAAAAGCCCTTCCTAAGGTCCGAGCTGTACTTGTGAGAACAATTTTTTGTATTTCATTAAGTCATAAGCTTCCAGGAAACCCTTCAATGAGTCTACTGGAATCTTTCCCAATCAATCCGAGGGCTCCAACTACAACAGGGTTTATTGTTGTTCTCACGTGCCACATTTCTGAGATTTCGATTTCAAGGTCCTTGTATTTTTATAGCTTTTTGAAGATCTTCAAAGATACATTGCAGTCTGCAGAGACTGCTATATCAATAAGGAGGCCATTTTTTATTTGCGGTTTTCTAATAACAATGTCGGGGCGGTAAGTTTTGATTTTTCTGTCTGTGTGTATTGTGTAGTCCCATAAAATTGTTACAGGTCCTATCTCTGTAACCGAGTCTGGGTGGGGGTGATACCAATTATTATTAATATTATTATTATTATTATTATTTGTGTATACTATGATTCTTGTTTTTATCCTGTACAGCAGAGTCCAAACTATGGTTCTTAGGCCCTTTAGGAGAATTGTCATTTAACTGATAGCACTTTTCTTAACATATGGGGTGTTCCTAGTAAAGCGACCTTCTGGGCAACATGTATTTTGAGATTATCTAAGATGCTAATAGTAAAATTGTCCATTCCTTTTCTCACGAGGCCCAGTGCCCCGATTACTACTGGTACAGCCTCAGTCTTCATTCCCCACATCCTGTTAATCTCGATCTCCAGGTCCTTTTACATTCGGATTTTCTCGATAATTTTCATGTCGCTGTTTCTCTCAGATGATACTGCTAGATCCACAAGCAGAAACTTCCTGAATTTCAAGTCTGTTGGCTTTTATTTCCCTGTCAGTTTGAATTGCCATGTCCCAGAGGATAGTTACATCGTTATTTTGGGTAACTCTGTCTGGTTGGTAGTCATACTATCTCTCAGTGGTTTCGATTTTGTGCTTCTTGCATATGTTCTAGTGCACATATGTCGCTACCTCATTGTGACGTCCCTAAACACAGCCTTCGCTCGCTCCTCGCTGCTTCGTTCGGGTGTCGCCGCTCCAAACGTGACGTCCGCCTGTTTGCTTCAGTCGTGTTGTCTCGTCCTGTGACGACCAACTGGCTTGGTCCTGGTCGCGGCGCCAACTGTGACGTTCTAACCTTTTGGTAATTCGGATGTGAATCTGGTTAGATTCGATATCAGCCTCGTCGTTCCCAATTCGCTTCCAACGTCTGGTTACCAAAGTAACTGCGTTGATCTCCAGTCTGCCTACCCACGCTGTGAATTCATCTTAGGCAGACGAAATCAATCAGTCGTCAGGGCCGTAATGCAAGTTGGGTCCAAGCGGGGGTGGTATCGCACAAATATGTATAAAAGAAATAAAATAAGATGTCTTCGATCTGTGCTTGAAATAAACTGAATGTCTCACACCCCTTATACTGTTGTTCTACAAAAGGCCAATTCACTCTCTGTGGAAGCAATTATAAAAAAATTACAGGTTGTTATGGACAAGCCATGTTATTCGTATGGCAGATGACAAAATGCCAAAACTGTTAATGGAGAATTGGAAGGGGGAAAAAACCGCAGCACAAGCCCAAATTTTAAACCTTTATTTTTACTTGTTGACGATGCTATTATATTTGTATAAATATATTGCGAATAGTGTCCGGTAGGTCTCCATGAGTATTTAAATGGGACCCAATTGATCTATGGCCTAGAAAGATGAACATGGACACAATATGT